CCTCATCATGGAACAATAAATTCCAGTTTGGATCTTCTCCATACTGGCGACAATACATTGAGTACAAACAATGTTGAGAACACTTTGAATACAAAATTTAATGACGTCAGATGCTGTCTAAGATCAATGACGTAATATGGTTCCTTTTAACCAAATAGGAGAATCTAATCTAGTGCTTTCACTAAAGTGCTCTTAACTAAATCGGAAAAGTAAAAATTTAGGCTTGTTGTTTTTATATATATGACTAGCTAATACTAGCCCGTTCTGAACAAAGGATGTTTGTTTTTTAGATTAAAATCTTTTGCTAAAATTTATTTTAAGGTACGTCCTTACCCGTTTCACCTTTCTGATTATATGTCACAAAAGCAAAGTATTTCCACATCATTTCACAACTTCTATGATAAAGCGGTCATAACTAAAGCAAAAATACCAAAACGTGCCGGTCACTTATTATCTATGTGATTTTCATTCCTGTTCTAGAATAGAGAAGGCGACTAAAAAGGAAAGTTAACGACGATCGGCACTGCTTCCAGGAAAAGTGGAAACAACTATTCTTTCACTGAACAAGTGTTTGTGCTTAATGTGCTTGGATAGTGTGGCTGTTTTCAAGGAATTCGATATCAAGAGGCACTACCAAACAAAGCCTGCTATGACAATTTGACCAAAAATGAAGTTGAGAAACTGAAGCAACTGGAACTTGGAATATCCTCACAGCAGATCTGATTTGCAAGAATCGGTCAGTTGAATAAAAATGCGACAAAGGCAATTCATGAGATGACAAAACTAATAACGAGGCACTGCAGACCATTTAATGAGGGTGAATTGGTCAATGTATGATGAAAACTGTAGGAAATATCTGCCCTGAGAAAAGCAAGTTTGTCAATGTTTGCTTGACACGCAACCCTGTGGTTCGTAACATTGAAGATATCGCTGACATTAAGAGAAAATTAGGAGCAACATGTGACTTTTATCGTTAGCATGTGATGAAAGCCCTGAAGCTTCTGACACTGTCCAGCTTCTCATTCTTTTTTGAAGAGAGTTAACGATGACCTGTGTGAGGAATTACTTGACCTGCACGGTCCTAAGGACCGAACAAGACGAGTAGATTTATACGCATGTGTTTCTTCTGCAGTCAATGACATTAGACCACAATCGAAAAGTTCTCTGGAATTATTACTGCCGATGCCCCATCCATCAATGACGAGCACACATTTGGCTGTAACAACATCAACGAAGAGGGGTGCAAGACCACTAAACTCCACTGTATCAATCACTAACAAGTAATTTGTGCCAAACATCTTAGACGTGATCATGTGATGCAGCCAGTGACAATAGCTATCAACTATTGTCGCTCTAAAGCCCTGTTTCATCGTCATTCTCCGCAGTTGGATTCAGAGATGTTGTGTATCACAAAGATGTAAGATTGCTGCTCAGTAAAGAGAATGTACTTTATCCCTTCTATTCGCTTCGAAAAGAAATTGGGCTATTACTGCCAAATAAGGGACAACCGATGCCAGAACAAGCTGATCCTGCTTGACTGGATGATTTTGGATTTTTGGTTGATAGTACAGAGCACCGGAATTTGTTGAATAAGAGCCTTCAGGAACAAAATGCATTGGTGAGCCAATTGTATTCACACATCAAGACCTTTAGGAATCGGCTGCAACTTTTCCAATGACCAGTTTCTCAAAAGCAGCGTCTAATACCACAAGTTTTCCATCATTGCAGGAAATAATGACGTCTTCCGGAAAGTAACATCAATGCACAAATGCAGACATATGTCGCAGACATTGTATCCCTAGCTGATGAGTTTCAAAAGCGCTTTCAGGACTTTGTAGCCAACAAAAAGGAGCTCGGGTTTTTTGCTTAGCTTTTCTCTTTAGACCCTGGCAATGCTCCACGCCAATTGTAACTGGAGCTAATTGAGCTGCAAAGTGATGTTAGAGGTCGCACTCAGCATCAACAGCTATCTCTCGCATTGACTTTTACCGCCAGCTGGATAAAGGCAGATTCCAGGAAATTGGAACATTTGCCAAGAAAACGCTCAGCTCGTTTGGCTCGACTTCCTTATACGAGTAGACATGTTCAGTTTCGTATTTTGACAAGAACTCAGAGGAAGAGACTAAGAGATTCTCACCCACGTGATATCTTGGGTACCAAAACCGGTGTCATTGAGGCTGACCTGACCAGTTTACTGCAGTCAAGAGCTCAGTTTCACCTTTCAGATTGAAAATTTGCAATAAACAATTTACACGTCATTTTTGGTAATTATCTTAACATAAACTGAACATGGCTCCAGATATCTTTACTTCACAAAATGTGGCCCTCCTTTTGAAAAATTTTAATACCCCTAGTCTAAACGCTGACACAGACTTCTGATACACAGACGAAATTGATGGATGTCTCAGCATTAGTAATGATCCCTGGTGGCTAGTAACTTGGGATACTTGGTAGGCATCTAATGTGTGCATGATAATGAAATCCACTACCACACCACCGACTTGTATTATCCCAGAGCCATCCAGAGGCTCGATGTGTGTAGCATGGTTTCCTGAATGATGTTACACTCGCTTGAGCAGTGCATCAAGTAAACACGCTATTTGTGAAAGTCTGCTTATCTGTTGTTTTTCTTACTCTGGAGCATCAGGTGTAGAATAGGAGGACGGCGGTGGTTAAGCAAAGACTGCTTTACCAAACACTAGAAACTAAAACCTTGTGAGCAACACTTATCCATCACGTTCACGTGACCTAAACTTTGCCAACTATATAGTAGGCTGTATTTGTGACAGTCTTAACCTTTGGTCTTATACATTGGTCTCATACATTGGGGGTATAATTATCTAAATAAAATGTATTTAAGGCGATGATATGCTGACGGATATGAACGAATAAACTGTGATGAAAGTGTCCTGCAAGAGTAGACGGTGGGTCAAGTGAACGATCCAGTGGGAGACGGGTGTAAGTGATTGGATTGCTGGACCTGGATTGGGCGATATTCATGTGAGTTAATCCTCGCTTGTTTAACTGAGTCAAAGGAAGTAACTCATTGCCTCTAAAGGGTCGTTAGTTATGGACATGAAGACGTAAATTATATAGAGGTTTTGGCTTTCCGAACGTGCTATAATTTTCTCCGATTTATAAGGACCGACACAGTAACCGGTGGCATCCATTCCTGGATTTGCCTGGTACCAGCCATCGCGACCAAGCTACATCCAATTCTGCAATGATGATGTCAACTCAATCGGTGACGAAACGTTTGCAACAAAATTGACGAGCTCGGTGAACAAATAAATTCGGCAAAATCTCTTTGCCGAATAAAGGCTTCTAGCCAAAGGAATGAGTTCTGCAACCCAAAACATATAAGATGAAGAAACTGGCCTAGTTCACATTAATACAAATGTATTGTGAGAGATTTGCTAAATCTATGAATAATTAACATGGAATGTTCCGAAATGCGAAATCGCAAGTGACCATGCTACTAGTCAAGGGAGTAGTCAAGAGGATAATGATAAGATTCAAAACAATGAAAGAACAAGCATTGGTTTTTCATTTGTTCAACCTGCTATACCTGCTCAAGGTAAGTGAAGCATCCAATAACCGTGGCATACGTAGTCTTGTCTTCCCCTGTAGTCTGTAAATATTTTGTGCTTGTATGTATGTTTATCGATCGACCGAATCAATGTTCCTAAGACCCGACTACCAATGCCCCTCTCTTAGAATAAACATCTAAATGCATCTGGTATTGTGTACTATCGCACGTTGAGGATATTTGAACAATGAACAATGATTTATCACGGGATAAGAGCAAGTGCTTGACGAAAACTCAATGTTTTCAAGCAAACATATGTTTTCAATAATTCTTCGTCAGGCTTGTACAATTATATGCAAAAACAACAACCAAAATATAGACACAGCACAAGGACCGGTAAAGCACTGAGTTCACAGTCACTGGTCACTATCAGTCACTGCCCCCCTAGAACACAGTTGTGGCATGTGCACAATTCCTTGGTATGGACGGAGTAGTTCGTCTGGTCCAAGTCAAGCACAGCGTGTGAGTGAATCTTTTCTGGACGCACAATTCCGGCTCGTATAGTCTGATCGCTAAACTCTCCGCCGATCCAAGTAAGCGCTTACGAACGCACTTTGATCGATTTTCAGGTAGTCGATAGATAACCTTAAATGCCTCGGTTAGATTGGGGGAATGGACCGTGTCGGCAAGGTGCGTGGCGATGGATGAGTTGGTTAGCTTTCGGCACCCAGTCGCAAGCCAGGCCGGATGGTGTTCTCTCACCCTGTCAGACAAGCGCGTCCCGTAGGATGGTTAAGGTGAATATGACGAAATCAAAATATGTCTGGGTCATCTACCGAACGTCTGCCGAGATGATTAGTTTGATAAGTGACATCAGTGTAAAAGAAAAATAAATTGTCGTAATTGAGTAAAAGAGGAGAAGTGCATTGGCTTTGAGTCTTCGGTATTAGTGCAGTATAATGAAAGGTAGAGCAGAAATATAAAATTATTAAGCAACATGCATAATTAACCATAGACTTGCAGAACATTTAGTCCTCCGGATGGAGGAATACTATCCACGAATTGTAACAATGGCTAAGAGATATGAAAATAATGTAAATTTTTCTGTGCTTGTTACGCCACTTGAGCTAACATAGTCCTCAGCTGAATATCCTCTAGCGAAACTCCATTTCCTAGTGTCGTATGCGTATTGAAGCGAAACTGTATACAAAAGAGAAAACCGTTTTTTTCTGGATTTTATCTTGCAATATCAGGGTGAGACGAGGACTATATGTGTTTATGTAGTACCTACTGCATGTGTGATCTTGAGTAAAAACGAGAAGTCCTACTTCGCTACTACGCATCCAATTTTTCTACCGCGTCATCGATGTCCGGCCTAAACTTCGCAGTCGCGCACGATTTCTGCATGATTTCTGCATGTTAAAAAACAATGGGTATAGCTTCATGCTTCACTAGTCAGTTACCAAAATACCGTAAGTCTATAGGGGCTAAACAAAGGGAGATATTCAAACAGCAAATTGCAAAACAGTGGCTGGGTACGAAAATGTTGTACCAAACTAGTGCTCAGGAGGGCAGAATTTAAGTGAATCGTCACAACACTATGCAGCCCAAGCAGTTTGGACAGTAAGTCCATAGAATCAGGGATGGATACCTTGTTCTTCAGGATGTTAGCAACTGCATACGTCATCCGGAACTAGGTTAATTTGTACATGTTTTCTATTTATGCAGAACTGGGTTTTGGCTGCATGCGTTAAGCCTACTCTTGGCTCTGTTGTCGATCGCCTCTGGCACCGATCCAAGGTATATTCAACGAAACGACTGCATTCCTTCTATTCACTTGTCTGTTAATCTACACCGTAGTAGTTCCGTTGACACTTGCTTCGTGTCACTGGCTATTTGGTTCGTTTTACTGTTTGCGAACTTTGCCACCGAAAGTACCGATACAATATCATTTATACGTAATGGACTTCCCTGATTTTCGAAAGACCATTGAATCGGTTTCTCAACGGAGACTACACTGTCAACTGGATTAGGTAAAGATATCGATTTGCATCCATATGCTTCACGAATACCATAATCGGTGGAAGAGAAAATCAAATATGCTAACCCCATTTGTTACGATTACTCTAACACAGGACACTATGCAGTAGCCATCACCAAATCTGATGATGTCAATGATAGGTTCGTTAGAATGAAACATTTTCAAGCCTTGAACTTTTTAATATAACCGCTAATTCACAGCAGGGTCCTAATTAGTTTTCAAGTTGTCACCGAAATAATATACCAGCCTTTTCTTATGTTCACTGTGCCACACCATATAAGTGGGAAATTCCGCCGAGTGTTCTCACTATATGTAGCTGTTAACAAGACACTTAAACAAAAGTTCACTATTTTTAGTTGAGGTTGTCCTCTACTCCACACTTCATGTAGCCCCTCTGAGTGTTGCTTGTTTTCATCATCAACTAACCGATCGGTCGTTGTGAACCGCGTACAGTCTGTGGCTTCCTTGGGGCTACTGCAAGGCACTAAAGTATGGCGAAGGCTGCAGTGGACCAACAAAGACCACATTGTTGATAAAGCTTACGTGATACACAATTTTGCTTTTTTTCTGTCTTTGCATTATGCAAGTGATTCCTCTTGTCACAGTGCCTTGGTCGTTTTCAGGTACATAATCTGCGTAGGAAAATAATTCCTGCTGTTAAATTATTCACATAAGTCAACCTTGTTACCAGTCAAAGTCATAGTACTACACACAAGTACCACTCCTGCTGGTCTGTCAGTTGCCTCTCAGTGATTAATGCACTTTCGCTGCCAAATTTCTCTTACCCCCAGACCACGCCCACAAGGGCGTCATACTCGTTGCCATTTGGTTGAAGATATGGGGAGGTAGACTCTTTAATTGCTAGGCAATCAGTTTAGCAAAACGAGCTGCGCGCTTACCTCCGCCTAACTAATAAACGCTGCGGACAGCAACTGCGTCAACACAAGTGCTACTCGTCAGAAGCAACTTGGCGTCATATGCGCGAATTTCCTACTTTTTCATTCACATGCTGTTTTTTAATCTCGCCACAAGAATGGTACTTAATTAATTCGGTATTATCGTTTTGACGGCATCTGGCATTGCTTTGCGTATACGTTATTCGCCTCGCCCCTTTAATTGTCGGCCTCAGAATGCATCTCATCAGCTGATCAATCAGTGCGACAGGTGAATATGGACGGCTAAATGTGCTTCCTCCAGGTGCGTAAGCAAAACCATCATATTTCTCTTCAAAATGACGTAATGAGCTAACGCTCAAGTGCCATCCGGACTTCTGAGTTGTTCACCCTATTCCTCTTTTTTAGCTATCTTGAAGAACAATGGTTGAACGACAAAATTGACTTTTACTTCGGCTGTGACACATTGCCAAAATATAGTCCTTTTATACGTATCTTTAACCACTTTAATGGATTAATATGCCTTCCATTCTGTTAACATATAGTAGAACCTCATCATAACATTCACCGCAAATTTCTACCGGACGACAACTGATCTGAACTTCGGTTTTGATCTCTGCTGTCCGATGGAAACTATTCTCATTCGTGTTGACCGGTTTTCCTCACCACTCCTCAAGCAGCTGCGTCGACTTAAGGTGAGTGCCATCAAATTTAAATATCCTGATTCAGTAATGTTCCTTTCTCTATGCATCAGATAAGAAATTCACTACCTCAATCATGCCTAGTCCAGACAATTCTGGAGAAGAATAATTACCATGAGATTCGGCAGATGATTAAGCACTTTACTGGAGTCGTTCGTCATAGTACGAACTGTAAAATAGAGGTGGAAGAATTTAATCGCAACTCCTGCTACTCCAACAGAGACTCACTTCCCAACTCGTCATCTGCAAAGATTCAGTGGCCTACAAACTCATCGCCAGTTGTTGTTGCGGCACTTCACAGGAAGCTTACACAGCCAAACTCTCAAGCAAATCAAGCGGACCTGACCGGTTGCTTCCCTTCGCCATTAAGGAGTGTGCGGTTTCACTAGCCCAACCGCTAGCTGAGTTGTACGCCATGTGCCTAAACCAAGACCAGATCGCAGCCTGTTGGAGAACTGCTAGCATAACACCAATACCGAAGAAAGTGACAGTTAAGAATTGACCTATGGCGTGCACTTCGGTGGCTCTGAAGGTCTTCGAGGAATGCATTCCTGAAAAATTGCTAACCCAATCCTGTCGGAATGATGCAGACCAAGTTGCATGCCGAAGTTCGAGGTCGACACAAGAAGTAGTGGCCCGTCTAATGCATTCAGTGCTACCGTCGCTAGACTGCAAGAACAAAGTCATACGTTGATACTTCCTTGACTACACCAACGACTTGGATTGTGTTAACCGTGAAATCTCGTTGCAAGATCTCCTGGCTTCTGGTATCCAAGCATCCATAGCCGTTTTGCTATAGGATTATTTTGCCAAAAGTACTCAGATAACCAAGTTTAACGGCAGGAGATCATCGGCACTTACCACTATTTCCGGTGTCCTTCAAGGAGCTATTTTGTCGCCATTCTTATTCTATACCTACGTTGGCTCCATCACTGTCCCTGAAGAAGCTAGAATTCGTCGATGACGTACTAATCGGCGCAAATCATCTAACTTCAGCCACTTCGACCATGCAACAATGTTTCTTTGTGTGGATAAAATCGTTCGCTGGTCAAACTCCCGCGGCTTAACGCTGAATACTTCTAAGTGCAATGGTGTACTGTTTTAGTTGCATAAGGCAGATCGTTACCTGAAACTCATCGCTGACTGCCCCCAAGTTCACATCATTGATGAAAGCCTGAGCTTCTTGACATCAGTGAAGTAGCTGGAACCGCAGTGAGTCATGATTTATCGTGGTCAATTCACGTAAACGTAGTATTCATCAAAGTCATGCGACTCTCCTTTCATGTCCCAAGTCTTCGTTCGTCCTCAATCGCCCACCAGTTGACTCTGCGATTCATCATTGCATACGTGCTGCAACGCTGGACCTACTGTTCTCCTGTGATCTTTCCGGAACTACTGGGAACCCATTTCAAACTACTTCGTAGGTCGCTGAAACACGTTCTCCCAGCTATGACTGGGAAACAATGGAGATAACAAGGCAACTTCCTCGTGTTCTCTATCACTCCATGAACCAATGAACATATCTCGATGTAGTAACATTCCTAAAGCAACCTTAGTTCAATATATATCTGTTCATGTTAATTCATGCGCAAAACGCTTCGAAAATACTGATATCAGCCACTATTACGTAACGTATTAGACAACTGCAAATCTGGTTCCTCAACACGCTGAAACTACAAAGCCATATATGCCCGAACGCTGGCCTACGGCTCATCTGTCATACCTTACCTAGCTTTCTTTCTGTTTGTTCCAAATATAATCATTCACGAACCTAATAGTAAATTTTCTTAGTGATCCTGTACCATATATGAAACATTGTCTTGGCTGCGTTTTTTAACTGTGTTTGAATGTAGTATATTGTTTTACTTTACAATGTCGATCACGCGTGTTACAGCTGAAAATTCAACTTTCATGGGTGCATAAAAGCGAATACTTGACTTGAAAAATATCTGAAAAATATAAGGTATTGAAATTTCAACACTATTTTCAGATGGTTATTTGGGGAATTTTTGTAGATCCTACAGCTTCAGTAAATCTTCGAACGAAAAGCCGAGTACAATGTGTGACTGTTTGTGCTCATGTGTGCAATAACCTTACAAGCAAATCTGTTTTCTCCTAATAAATTATTTGGACGTCCCCTTTTGGAGTGCATCACGTTTTGAGAACAACCAAGTCCGCATGATTTAGCGGCGTCCGTATCCGGATTTGCCTGTCACTGTGATCTCCATGGGGACAACCACAGGACGCCTGCGCCCACAGAAGCACCATGAGTGACTTGCGCTGAACCACCCATGCACCCTATATCCAGTATAAGCCCCCAAGAATAAGACCTGGAGGCATGTAGATGGGAGCCAGGTTTCATCAACGGTGTCTGCCCACATTCTTCAACATGCACGACAGTAGCACTCCAGTCAGTTGAATTTGGTAATCATGCCCGTTCCACACTGGATGGAAGCAGTCTTTGTGTCTAGCACGGCAACGAGGACCATGCAACCCCGCCCCGCAGCAACGATTCTCAGTTGCCTGGGTCTACTAACCGAGGTGGAGGGTGTTAGACAGGTAGGCACTTTGTCAACATGCACAAAAAGCGCAGCCACATCGGGGATGTCATGTGACAATTAATCACTTGTAATGGCAATATCAAATAAATCGAATAAAGCATACGAATATGCCGACATATCATCATTAATACACGTTAGATGTGGGTGAGAAACACACCTTAACTAGCGTGCTGAAATACAAAAAGCTAAGAGACTAAAAAATCGCACTGCAAAACAGATTCCAAGCAAGGGATATGCTGTGAAATATTATTGTATGCGTTTTGTATGAGCTCGGGGTCGGAGAGGAATTAAAGTGGGAGTGGACAAAGAGACTCACAACACAAATGCCATTAGGGCTTGCTATTCTCCAAATCAGAAAGTGTGTCCAATCAAACGTGTTTATCGTCCTTAGGACCCCAGCCAGGCAGTCGGGATGCACCAACGGAAGCCAACATCGAACTGAGGGTTTTCATTTCTCTTGACCAAGTCATCGCTTAGCCTCCCCTTCTCCT